GTGCTTGCAGACAGAGTCTATCCAGAATCACAGTGTGGATTTCAAGCTAATAGATCCACCACTGACATGCTACTTTCCCTCAGATAGTTGTAGGAGAAATGTAGGGAACAAAGACAGCTGCTCTTTGTGGCCTTCATTGATCTTACAAAGGCCTTTGATTTGGTTAGCAGGGACGGCCTTTTTAAAATTCCTTCCAAGATTGTATGTCCACCTCAACTCCTTAACATCATCAGATCCTTTCATGAGGAAATGAAGGGCACTGTAGTTTTTGATGGCTCAACGTCAGATCCCTTTGACATCCAAAGCAGAGTGAAACAGGGCTGTGTCCTCACGCTGACTCTGTTTGGGATCTTGTTTGCTGTCATGTTGAAGCATGCCTTTGGAACTGCAACAAGGCCTGCCAAGACTTTGGACTAACAATCAGCCTGAAGAAAACACAAGTTGGCCAGGGCGTGGACTCTCCTCCCTCTATTACCATCTCCACACAATTATTGGAGGTTGTCCATGAATTTGTGTACCTTGGCTCAACTATCTCTGACGCTTTCTCCCTAGATGTCGAGCTGGATAAACGCATTGGGAAAGCAGCTACCATGTTCTCTAGACTCACAAAGAGAGTATGGCTTAATAAGACGCTGATGGCATATACCAAGATCCAGGTCTATAGAGCCTGTGTCCTGAGCACACTCCTGTACTGCAGTGAGTCCTGCAGTGAGTACTCAGTAATATTCAACACCATCCTAACATTATCTCTTAACTATCTTTTTGGTAAAAAGCCACTTTGATCTTCACAAATAATAAATCAGTCTTTGTGCCAGGATAGTTGCAAATGTTTTGTAATCACTATTTAAGAGGGAAATTGACCAAAATTTTTTGATCAGGTTGTGATCCTGACCTTACTTTGATATTAACATTATATTTCCATCTTTCCATGTATCCGGCATTTTCTCTTCTTTTAGTGTCGAATTCATTGTTAATTGCAGGGGCAATAACAGCTTCTCTTCAAACAGCTTGTAACAGATTGCTAGTGGGGGAGGCATATGGCCTTGGTGCTGTACCAGATTTGCACATCTTAATTGCTTCCAGAACTTCTCTTGCTGCAATTGGTCCATTCAGTATAGACCTTTGCCTTTCTTTAATCTTGAGTAACTCTTGTCTCCTAATATATTCTTCTATTTCTGCTATGGAGGCCCACTATTTTCAGGGCTTGCAGGGAGAGTCAGGGGAAGCTTCCCTGTGAATTTAGGTATCTCCAGGTGCTTGGGGACCATTTTAAAGGGTTCTAAAGTCAAAAGCAAATTGACAAATTGATTCACCGATTCGTCCAAAAATTTGTAAATTCATGATTCATCATTCGTTGACCTTGCGCTTCGTGGCACAGTGGTTAAACTGCTGTCCTGCAGCCAAAACTGTGCTCATGACCCAGGGTTCAATCCCAGGTAGCCAGCTCAAGGTTGACTTAGTCTTCCATGCTTCGGTGGTTGGTAAAATGATTACCCAGCTCTCGGGGGGGGGGGGCAATGGGTAGCCTGCCTAATTAACTTTTAAACTGCCCAGAGAGTGCTTGAAGCGCTTTGATGACTCATGAATCAAAACAAATCACCAATTCATGCCCATTTCTAAACACAACTGCTTCCTGCATGCAAAAGCCAAATGGCAGACAATTGATTTTTTTCTCATGAATCAAAACAAATCACCATTTTTTCCCAATTCATGCCCATTTCTAAACACAATTGCTTCTTGCATGCAAAAGCCAAATGGGCAGACAATTGATTTTTTTCCCCTTCTACACTGCCAGTGCGAAAGCATCTTCCCTGATACAAAAAAGCAGAAGGTGAACTTAGGTGGCACAAGGCAGGCAATGTGGCAAACAGGTCTTTCTTGCAACCCACTGTTTGCTGCCTCGTAGCATCTGCTGCCTGCAATGACCAGTTCACTTTGCCTAAGAGAGGGCTGGCTCTGACTGACAGATACAATACAAAAGATGTGCAACATAATAAGTACATGGATGACAATTACACAGCTACTCAATTATCAGGTCAAGCACACCTGCCTGAGCAAAAATGCTACTCCTCAATTCCGTCTCTTACACCAAACCACAACATTTCTTCCCCAACCAATTCCATGTAATTACTCACTTATTTTCTCCTCCGGCGTCCATTCATCTTCATCTTCTGTCTCCCATTTTTTCCCTGTTTTCTTTGGCTTCCCTGCACAAAACAGAGAGACAGATGACAAAGTTTAAGGAGGAAATGTTTGAAGGACAGAAAAATACAAATAAAAATGAGATGTCAAGAGTTAAGAAAACTGTCCAACAGTTTGGAGGAGGTAATACCTGAGACGTCCAATAGTCATTTTATCTAGATCTGTAACAAATTGATAGAGGCAGAGGTTTCACTGTGATTTTTAAATGAGGAAGAAATGTGTGTAAAAAAACATGACCTGAGCAATCCTCAGCAAAATACATCCAAAATAGATTTAGACCCTTGCTGCGAAGGGTCTAAATCTATGATGACCATACAAATGATTCCGAAATGGCATTCATAACCTTGTGATACTCAAAGGGCACAACATGTGATAGGTTATCCAATCCTTTTAATAAAATAAAATGGCAATATAGAAAGAAAAAAAATCTTGCTACCCTTCAACTGAACAGCTGAAGCACTCATTTGACTTTCCTTGGCTGCTAATAGGCCTGTTCCACAGATGGTTTTTAACAGATCATTTAGGATTGTCAATAAAAGCTTTAAAACAACTGAATTAAAATAAAGGCCATGTTGTTTGTTAAATATTTAACTACCAATGTTAGGCTATGCATATAAGTCAATAATTGATCGATAGGGTTTGTGTGCAGCTGCCTAGCAGGACGTTTAATGCAGTCTTGCAGCAGGATTTCTCCTCGTCAAAAGAAGAGGGGGAGGGAGGATATTAGCAGATGAGGTTTCGCTCAAAGCAGCAATGCACTCTTAAGCATCTGAACATGACAACAAACATTCGCTCAAAGCAGCAATGCACTCTTAAGCCACTCTGTCTGAACACGATAACAAATGGGGTTAAGGGTAAAGTTTTTCTGCAACATATATGGATACTTTCCTACTCGGCCTCCCCATGAATTGGGCAGCGCTCCCCATTTCCAAATCCAAAGGAGACCCACCTTTCCTCTCTTTGCTTTTCTCCTCTGTCCACGTGTCCTCATCTGTCTCACCTTCTTCCTCTTCCTTGCTGCTGCCCTTCCCTTTCTTGGGCTTCTCTGATCCAGGGCAAAAAAGACAAGCGTTATTCCCTGATTTGTGTTTTTCACCTTGCAGACAGAGGTTTTGGTGAGCGTGCTGATGGAGGTGAACAGATATGAACAGACAAGCATGCTAAAGGGAGGGTGTGCACAGTGACGGTCCTAGAACAATGCAAAGATGGCACAGTTGATCAGGAGGTGGGCACCAGGGCTGGGCGGGCAGAGGATGCCACGGAGATTTCATGGAGCAATCTGACTGGCAGATTCAGACATAGGTGAAGTATTTCCCACCCTCACTTGTCTCTAAGACCCGTGGAACCAAGCATGGCATCTGCCACACATGGGGGGGGGGCTACAGATTTACAAATCAAAACAAAACCAGACCCAGTCCCACCCACTTGCTCTCTCCTCACTTAGCCTTAGTTTCTCTTCATCTGTTTCCATCTCATCTTCATCATCATCTTTTTTGCTGGTGTAGATTTTGGGCAGAGAATAGTCCACTACAGGGGAAAATTGATTATTGGTAATGGAGGTCAGTAAAACGTCACTGCTAGTTTCATCCCAGCCCCACCATCCTTGACAAGTGAAAGACGCTTCCGTTGTCGTTCAGGAACGAGTCTGACCACAACTGGGGAAAGCAGCAAGGCGAACTTGGCGGGGTGAAAAGCTGCTCCTGAAAGCAAGAAACAGATCTATCTAGGCAGCAAAGCAGCCATTCCAAGCTTCCCTTGTTTGTCTTTTCCAGAGGAAGGCATGGGATAATGCTTACCGTCTCCATAATCTGGCAGCTCTAGCTCTTCTTCGTAATGACTCTCAAGAGGTGGAGTAGGTGGCGGATCTGATTTCTCTGCAGAGCAGAACGGAAAAGTCAGAAAGATTCTTAAAGAGGTAATTAAGACAAAAAGAAAATACTGTTGATGGTGTATTGCCTTTTGAACATTATCGACTAGTTTCAGGGATCAATAACTGAACAACAAGGTTGTGAGCAGCTTCTTTTCAAAGAAGGCTACTGCCGTTCCATGTTTGGGGCTAACAGCCCTTAGAATTAAATGTATAGATTCATATATGTCTACAGTTAGTTGGCCAGCTCAAAAGACTAGGCCTTCCTCACTGTGGCACTGAGACTGTGGGATGCCTACTGGTGCCACCACGGTTTTGGGGCCAGTCCTGCCATGTGGGTAAAGAATTGGGTAAAGACATCTGCTTCAGGCAGCACAATGGTGGTGGCGGCGGTGAGAAGGGAACTGACAAAGTCAGGAATCAGTGTCTGAAGTGACCGTCCTTTGTAGCTTGGGCAGGGTGCCAGAATGGAGACTTGTCAACGTTGCAAGATTTCTTAAAGCAGAACAGCCTGTAGGCTAGATCCATCTTGCTGCTCAACTGAATCCAACTCACTAGAGAAGAAAGGAAAGGGACAGCAGAGCTACACATGTGAAATTGTGAAGAACCAGGGAATGATTGAGTTGGAAGGGGCCTATATAGCCATCGAGTCCAACTGTCTGCTCAACACAGGAATCCAAATCAAACCAGATCTGACAACGGGCTGGATGTGGGTTGAATATCCTTTCCCAATCCTTCTCAACTGTGAGTAGCAAATCCTGCATGTATCTTGGGGGGATACCTGGCTCAGCAAAACTATGAGCGAGAAGGATCTTGGAATTGTCATAGATCACAAGCTAAATATGAGCCCACAGTGTGATGTGGCTATAAGAGAGCCAAATGCTATTTTAAGGTGCATTAAAAGAAGTGTAGTTTCCAAATTCCGCAAGGTGCTAGACCCCCTCTATTCAGCATTGGTTAGGCCTCACCTTGAGTATTGTGTCCAGTTCTGGATACCATGCTTCAAGAAGGATGCTAACAAATTGGAAAAAGTTCAAAGGAGGGCGACAAGGATGATTGGGGGCCTGGAAACCAAACCTTCCTTATGAGGAAAGGCTGAAAGAATTGGGCATGTTTAGCCCTGACTAAAGAAGACTGAGGGGTGATATGAAAGCACTTTTCAAATATTTGAAAGGCTGCCATACAGACGAGGGGCAGGATCTGTTCTCGATCATTCCAGAGTGCAGGACACGCAACAATGGGCTCAAGTTAAATGAAGCCGATTTCGGATGAATATCAGGAAAAACTTCCCAACTGTTAGAGCAGTACAACAGTGGAACCCGTTTCCTCGGGAGTTGGCGATTCCTCCAACTCTGGAGGCATTCAAGAAAAACTTAGAAAATCAGTTGGCAGATGTGCTTTGACTGTATTCCTGCCTTGAGCAGGGGTTGGACTAGATGGCCTTGCAGGCCCCTCCCAACTTCCCTTTTCTATGATTTCTATGATCTCTGAGTCACACACTTCAATCAAATGAAGTGTGTGAATGTTATGCCTCCTTACTTGAAGTGAAGCCGGTATCGAGGTATGGATGCTGGAATGCCAACAAAGCAAATGTAAGGGATAGCAAGTAGAAGTGTGGAAAATTTTGCTTTTTGGACTACAATGCCCAGAACTCCCCAAGCAACTGCCACCCTGGGAATTTTGGGGTGTGTAGTTCAAATATCACATCAACCACAAATCTTCACCTCTCTAGTCATTCGAAAACCATGAAAGCAGGGAGAACTTTGCAAGAGACTCTGTTCCCAGCCAGAATTAAGAGGAAATGAAAGCAAAAAGCAAAAACCACGACAGAAGGCTTCTGAGCCAGTCCCACGGCTGAAAGACAGAAAGTCCTCAACAGTCAGCCGTGCCAGTTCGAAAGCCCTAAAAGGAAATCATCATGATTAAGGTGAGAAAGGGTTTAGTATCAGAATTAACCTGCTTTTTCTGTAAGCCTGAAAAATAGTTTTACTGTATTTTGAGAGAGAGAGAGAGAGAGAGTTAGTTCCTATTTTCAGACAGTAGTTCCAGAATCCCACAGATTTTGGCAGTTACTGTCAAAAAAATAAGTTTCCCGAGTTTTGCTTTTGCCTTTTAGGCAATCTCTCTCTGTCTCTCTGTCTCTGTCTCTGTCTCTGTCTCT